ATTGATGAACTTCTCTTAGGCTCTTAGTAAGCCTTGTTTGAAAGTTAATGATTATCAATATTGATTAACTTACCATTAGTTCATGGTTAGCCTGTTTATTACTATAGGTTAGAAGATCAGCATGTTAATAAATGTTTTCCTAGTACTACTATTATAATAAATTTTATTAGAAATTATTTTACTAACATTTATCAAAGAATTAAGATTTGGAAAATTTTTCAACTCTCAAATCTATAGATATAAACCTTCATGAAATGCAATCAAAATATTAAACTGAAAGATCATTACTCATATCATGTTCCAGTTTATCAAGAGAGAAGGAAATCATAGAAGCTGATGCAATCAAAATATTAAACTGAAAGATCATTACTCATATCATGTTCCAGTTTAATCAAATCAAGGAATCCTCATGTTCTAAGAACAACAAGAAGATAATAACTTTATTCAACAATTGAACACAAAGGAGAAAAGATTTCAACCTTGGATAGAAATATAAAGAATCATCTTCAACTAAGAAGATAACACAAGCTCAAAGGCACCCTACAAGGAAGAGAAATAATAAAATAAAAACCAGAATAATGTAGTTACTTGTTTGGCAGGTTATGCTTTGCAGTTTAGAACTCTAAATAAAATCATTTGAGGGAGAAGTACAAAGCAACAGTATATTCTAGAAGTATATATTTTTGTTAGTCTTTGATCTTGAAAATGAACGACGATGAAAAATATCAACAATTATGATCAAAGCATACCATTTGAGAATTTCTCAATATAATGATATGTGATGATTGATAAAATAATAAGTCTGTGATGGAATTATTTTATTATTTTGTTTATCAACTCTCACATTCAACGATGTATGGAGAAGGATACACTATTAAGGTGTTCTTCCTAAGAGAATTTTATCAAAAAATTTCTTGATACAAGTACAATTATTTTAAGATTGAAATAATCAGCTAAATCTGATTAACTCCTTAAATAATTATTTTAAACTCTTTCATATTTTAAATATATTTCTTTTAAATTATTTAATCATCTCTAACCTATGAAATAAGTGTGTTAAAGTTTTTTTTTAAGTTTAGGGGTGTCAAAAGCATGAATTGGGGGTGTTAAGAAAGAAACAAAGTCCAAAAGCTCTAAGTCAAGAAAAATAAAAAAGAGAGTTAATTGATTGACATAATCGATTAGAAGATTCAAACGATAAAATTTGACGTTGAACAACTCCCCAACGAATAATTGAATGCAGTAACAAATAGTTGCACTAGAAATTTCTCAAAAACTATCTTTGCTAATCGATTGACCAATCAATTAAATGATAGATATATAAGAGTTACACTTCCATCCTTCTTCACTACATTATTCTCACTTCTTGCTTGCATAAAACTACTTTTTCGTTCATAACTCATCATCATCATCATCATCATCAAAAATGACCTTAAAAGTGTTAGAACAAGATTTGGATCCGGTATTTAAATCTCTATGTTTTGATAATAACAATACATATACTTTATGCATAACTAAATCAGACTGAAACGCTACAGTTCGGCTTAGGGAGGGGGTGTGATTCACGTAGACAAGGCCCAGTGTTGCTTGAGTCCATTGAAGTTTTTTATATTTATTTTATTAAGTGTCATAATTAAAATGAACAAAAGCTATGTATAACATACATCGATTGGTCATCCTTCAATTAAATGGAATAAGACAAAAACTAAAAGCCAACGAACCAGAAATGAAAACGTGTCTCATCCCTACCTCTAGCATGCGTTAAAACCAGGTACATGATAGAACTTTTCCTAATCCGATTTTTCATTCAATTTTCCAACCTCCATAACTTCTTCAGTTCTCAACGAAAATAAAAAAAGTAAAAACCAAAATTGAAGTTTAGATTATGAGGAAGAAAATGGTATTATGTAAATCTCAAAAATATGCTTTTATCATAGAGAAAATTGAGTTGGAAGTCATGGATTTTACACCTTTCGTACAATTTTCAAACATCAAGAGCAAGTAAAAATGCCAAACAACACCACTTCATACCTATTGTATGAGCCAACTAAAGATGCATGAACATGTTTCTAAGCATTAAAACCCTAGAATGAAAGATATGAAGGGATGATAAGCTTACTTAGTGGAATATATCCAATGTACCTTTAGCTTTTTCTAGCTTCAAAAACCCACTAAATTTCACTTGATGCTCCTCGATGAACTCCAAGGAAGGTGAAGAATGAGAGATCTCAAGAAAACTCAAGAAATTCAAGAGAAAAGCGTAATGACCGATTTATTTTAGATTTATTTAAGCTCTTCAACTTTGAGTGCATGAATGAAATGAGATTTGAGGGTCCTCAAATAGAGAGTGTAGAAGAGGGTAGATGGTTATTTTACAAAGAAATTCGCTGGAGGGTGATTTTGGAAGTTTGGCCAAAATATGGAGTGGTGCCAAAGTTTGTGTTTCATGTTGTTTTGGGTGTAAGTTTTGTGCATTTTGGGGCCTTGTGGGGTCAGATTTACATTCCAAAAAGATGGTACAAAGCAGTAGAGAGTAGAGAGAGATATTTACAAATTGTCATTTTGGTAATTTTGATGTTTTTGAATGAAAACTAAGCATACAAAGTGCATGTATGCAAATAGAAGATATCACGGCTTACTCATGTCCTAAATATGTTATGGACTCAATTTGAATCAAAACAAATGGCTAGAAATCAAGTTTGAGAGAATTTGCAACTTGGGTGACTTAAAAATTTCACAAAAATGACCTAAACATCTAAATACATAACTTCCTCAATTATTTGTAGCTCATTAACTAGGACTTTTTGGAAATAGAATTTGATTTCCTACAACTTTCATATTCTGTACATTTCCAAAGTATGTTTATCGCTTTCTAGACTATGACAGTACATGAAACTTAGGATCTTATAAATCCTATGTCATTCATTCTTTTGAGCTACTTGTTCATGATGTGAATCACTTTAGTTCCTACCCTATGTGAGAAAGCTTTCCATTGTTCATATTTGTTGGAGACTGACATTCTTGTTTTAATTGGATTTCATTATGTTTAATTTTTATTTGTATTTATTGTATGAAAGTATGAAAAGGATCAAGACACTTTGTTTCATTTTGAGTACAACTACCTGGCCACATAGTCAATTTTCCATGTGAGTGTTTGATCACTCGTAACCCCTTTTGATCCTTTTTATCATTATCCACGTTGTTTAAACTTAATGCTTGTCTATGAGCATTTAGTTCACTTTTGTATGAATGTCTATTGTGTTTTTTTCTTGAACACTCAACTTTGTGTTGTTGTATGAATTTTTATCTTGCCTTAGAAAGTAGGGAGTATTCAAACATTAATGTTGGTTGAGTTCAAGTTCGGGAGAGAATGATTGTTTGCTTATTGGTTTGTTGTTATGAGGTGTTGAAAGAAGAAAGAAAAAATGTGAAAAATAAAAGAAAAAATATGAAAAACTTTTTAAAAAGAAACAAAAAGAGTTCAAATAATTGTGCAAATAAGTATGGTATTTTGGTGAAAAAAATTGGGAATGTGGAATAAGTGTGATTGAAATTTTGGTGCTTAAGCCTTTGTGAATTGATCACCCCTTAGGATTAGGAAAATTTTTGTTTCAATTACCTTTATAAATTTCCCCTTATTTGTTAACCAAGCCACATTACAATCTTGAAAAGTCCTTGTGATTATTGCTTTTATGTTTCAATGTGATTTTTTGCATGAATGCATAATTTAGTCTTTTGTTTGCAAGATTGTTGGGTGAGTGTCAAATTATTC